AAAAAAAAAAAAAAAAAAAAAAAAAACCAACAACAACAACAACAAATGGAACAAGTTTAGCCAAAGAGTGCACGTCCAGTTTCTTACAAATATTTCGTTAAAATCCTCAGCATCTAATTGATAGAGTAATATTCAAAGCAAGGTGGCGAAATCACTTTCTTGTAACTAATACCCATCATAGAACAATTAGAGATGATGATATGATCTTTCAAAGTAGAGAGGGCAGGTATTTGGATTGTGGAGTTGTTGAGAAGCAGGGGATGATGAACTTCCATGTACTTTTTTCTTCATATCTTATTTTAAGGTTTTTTTTAATATATATCTTTAATTCATAAGTTTAGAATATATTTATTATATTTTTTATTATTAATTTACATAAAAAATTATGAAAACATTTTTAATACTAATATCACATTTAATAATTTAATTACACACTTGATAAAATTTAAATTAATTTTTAATTTTTTAATATAAATTAAAAATAAAAATACAATAATTACACTTTTAAAAACACTTGCTAAAAAATTGCCCTATTTAATCTTTACCTAACCATAGAAGCTTCAATTTCAACAGGTAGCACTTCAATAAATGCTTTCCAAACCGTAATGTTAACGCTGGAAGAATGGCCTACTACATTTAATTGGCATGCATAATAGATCATCATCATCACTTGCACTTCCTTTTCTTCTCTAGAATCCCCACTTCCCCTTATAAATTGGAAGAGGCAGAAGGGTATGTATTTCAATTGTCATGTTGAATACTTTAATACTACACATGATGTTTCTCCTCCACTCTTCTTCATCAGCTATTCTAAAATTTTCTGCTCTTGCACTTCTCTTTTATGGAGGTTGCAAGGTGACCGTAGCTAAGAATGCAACTTTTCCTGCGCTCATTGTGTTCGGGGATTCCATTGCGGATTCAGGGAATAACAATTATCTCAGTACAATAGTCAAGTGTGATTTTCCACCGTATGGAAGAGATTTTCAGAAAGGAAAACCAACAGGAAGATTTTGTAATGGAAAGATCCCATCTGACGTCTCAGGTACACAGCTTCAATTCTCTTCTGACAACCTAAAACTGTTTTGTTTTGTTTTGTTTTTTGTTTTGTTTTGTTCTTTTTTTTTTTTCCTGATACATCAATGTAATGGTGCAGCTGAATTCTATGGCATTAAGGAACTGTTACCACCTTATCTTGACCCAAACCTACAGCTACAAGACCTCCTCACTGGAGTAAGTTTTGCCTCCGGTGGTGCCGGATATGATCCTCTCACAGCTAAAATTGTGGTATGTATAGAACAAAAATGTTTTTTTACAGTCGGCCCTGTACTTAAAAACATCAGTTTGGGGTTAACACATCCCTTAACCGGTCTCGTGTATGAATTATATAGATACATCTTTCCCTCGACTTAAAACTTGTCTGGTGTGACTGAAGTTTTTAATAAAAGTTTTATTAAAAGAAATCTATTAAAAAACTGCTGTTTTTGAAAAGTTACAAGTGTTTAGTAAAATTTTTATAAAATTACTTGTAGAGTAAAAAATTATTTAGTAAATTTTTTTATAAAAGATCTTTTAATATTAAAATGATTGAAATATATATTGTTTATTTTTTTATCACTCTAATTTTTTTTAATATTTTTATATGATTTTAAATTTATAATTAATTTAAAATTGATGATTAAAAATTAATTATTCAAATTTTAAAACATAAATGTTAAATAAA